GTTGAAATGGCGATATTAGGCCTAAACTAAATATTTACATGCTAAAATGGGTAAAATTTCGGGGAGGGTCAAAAATCACATGTCAACAACGATCAAGGATATTACAAGAAAGCATTGGTTAGTGACGTGCAAGGATTGTTGAGCTTGTTTGAGGCAGCACAATTCAGAGTACACGGTGAAGAAATATTGGACGAAGCAGATAATTTCACCACCACTCATTTGAAGCTATTGTTGCCTACATTGAGCAATTCTCTCGCGACGCAAGTCAGGAATGCACTAAAGTATCCAATCAACTATACTATGGTGATAGTAGCAGCGAGGAAATACATATCGTTATACCAAGAAGATAAATCATGTGATGAAGTGTTACTAAATTTCGCAAAGTTGGACTTCAACATATTGCAGAAAATGCATAAAAGGGAACTATGTGATATCACAAGGTAATTTACTAATTAACATCACAACATTGAATTATTTCTAAAAGAATACATCAATTTTCAGATCAAACTTCACATTTTTTTAGGTGGTGGAAAGAATTGGACTTGGCAAAAGCATTACCTTTTGCAAGAGACAGAATAGTCGAGTTGTACGTCTGGAGTTTGGGTGTGTACAGCTTTGAGCCCCAGTATAGGGTTGGCAGAAACATACTTACCAAAATGTTATGCTTCGTTTCTATTACTGACGATATCTATGACACCTATGGAACACTAGATGAGCTTACTCTCCTCACGAATTCAATAGAAAGGTAGTACAATCTTTATTTTTATTTTTTTTTGTAACTTACTGCTTTAGTTTGCCATGTAATAACTTGTACAGTAATTAAGTATTTTACTAATAACCTCACCTTCCGATGTAAACGTAGGTGGAACATCGATGCTGCAGAACAGTTACCCTCATATATGAAGATTTTTTACCGTGCACTTCTAGATGTTTACAGTGAAGTGGAGAAAGAGTTGGCAAGTGATCATAACAAGTCATTTCGAGTCAACTATTCTATAACTGCGGTAATTAAGTGACGAATAGCTAATAAGTAAATTAAACTTTTTAAGGATGATTCATGCAGGGCGTACACAGAAATTTTAATAAGCAATGTCTCAGTTAATTGATGCATGGCCAATGACCCAAAGGAGTTTGGGGAGATGGTGAAAATGAAAAGCCGAGTACAGTAGCATAAATAAAAATTGTAAATTCAAGAAGAGGGTTTTTCTTGATTGAGCGTTTATAAGATGTTAAATAAAATTGTTGTTGCCTTTTCCACCGTTCGATCTACGTTGTTCATGAGTTTTTACTCTTGTACCTTTCAGAAGAAAAAGTTGGCAAGGGCTTATTTTCAAGAAGCCGAATGGTATCATGGGAATAATGTCCCAACAATGGAACAGTATGTGAAGAATGGAATTCGAACTAGCACTGTCCCATGTCTTGCGACTCTCTCTTGGTTAGGCATTGGAAATGAAGCAACGAAGGAGGCATACGATTGGATTGCAAGTGAACCTCCAGTTCTCCTTGCTTCCTCTATCATTGGTAGATTATCGAATGATATTGTTTCCCATGAGGTATACTATATAAGTAGATTTTTTAATTCAACCTTAAATATTGGAATAACAAGCATAGTAGGAAATAATGTTTTCTAGTTTTTTTAGTTCAACCCTAAATATTAACAAATATATACTTATTCCTTGTAGTAGTACTTATGAGTTCATACTTCGAGGTTCACACTCTAATGGGTTTTGCACAAATAAATATAGGTCTAGACTAAAATATATGAGTTCAATTGAACGCACACCTATAATATTAGATACGACCCTTAAATCATAGTTCATACCATTTAGTTTACACAGCAATTTTAGCTCTTGTGTTCTAATAATTGTTGCTCTTTATATGGATATGCAGAGAGAAGTAGAAAGAGGAGATGTAACAGGTGTCGAGTGTTACATGAACGAATATGGTGTCACAAAGGAAGAAGCATGCAGGGAGATTAGGAAAATACTGAAGAATAAATGGAAGGATTTGAATCGAGGATGCCTAGAACCTACCGATGTACCAAAAGTTCTGCTAATGCCACTGCTCAACCTTGCTAGGATGTGTGAGTTCGTATATAAAGATGAAGATGCTTATACTGTTTCCAAAAATAACTTCAAAGACATCGTTTCTCTGGTGCTAGTTGATCCCATTACAATATGAGAACTTGAAAAGGAAAAACATAAAGAAAATGAAGGAAAAAAAAAACACTAAAATTGCAACTCTAGAATGCTTTTATATATATGTGTGTGCGCGCAAAAAGATTTGGGTTGCTGGTTCCAGGGCAAACAGACAATGCTTATATTTGGATAAGCTAAATGTACGTATTGGAATGAATATCATTTGGTTTCGTGTAATTTGTTTAGTTGTTGGAGTTGCTCTTTTGTAATACTTATAATAAGTTATATACATGACATCTTATCAAATTTTGGACTTTGTACTGTTTTACTATTTTTAATGTTTTTAGTATTAGGTTGGGATTGGGTGGGGGGTGTCACGACCCGGAATTTCCACCGTCAGGA